CAAAAAGCCATTCCCCCAGCTATAAATACTATCCAACAAACACCAACAGAGCATGGACAGAGTTCCTACTCCAGTCCTCTGAAGATGCCGGCCACAGAGACTGGCGAAACGTCAGGAAGAACAACCTTCAGAACACGGCCAAAGAGCCCGAAAAACCCACAACAACCATTAGATCTCGGCCGTGAAAGCTGTACATTCCTCTAACTTTTTGCATGCCTAGACAGAAGCAACTATTTCATTTTTCATTGGTGCCACATTTTAAAAAGAGAAGCATTGTGAAATATGTCAGCTCCAAGTAGAGAACTGTTAAACCTTATCCAACATTGGGCCTTGAGACCCTGCAAGCAACGCACCCTGGATGTATGGCAACAAATGTTCTACAATAAAAAGATTTTCCAACCTGCCTTCACATTCAGTGGATTCTACAACTGCAGAAGAAGGAGGACAGAACAAATGTCGCTACCACAATAGGTTCTGAAACTGAAATATTGAGAGGGTGCCTGCATCATCAGAGCCACAGGCATGGGTCCCAGACGATATTTTCGAAAGGCAGCAATCTGGACAGGACACAGTGTCCCTATACCAAGGATATTCCTGATCGGAATTACCTGCGATAACCTGACTTGTTTCAAAATACTTGCATTTACCACCACTGTATGAAATCAACGGGCTATTAATTTTCCTTGTGACTGTTACACTTCTGCTCTGAAATCTACAGAAGCTTCCCCAGTGTTTTGTAGAAGAGTTCTTTTTTGACTTAACCCTAACTCAGAAACTCTGCTTTCATTTCATTGTATTTTTTGCCCTGTGGCATGGCCAAAGTATAGAAACAAAGAACCTTTTCTCCCCCTCAATTGTAGTTTCTACAAAAACCTGCCTGGCTCTCCTCTTTTTTTTTAATCATCCTAGGTTTAGCAAAGAGAGTGCAGTGAATTTGTAGACTCCTCTTACCCCACCATGTTAATTATCACAGCTATAAAAAGAAGGTCAAGGAGAGGAACTCTACTAAATAGGGCGAAGTTGGCATGCATGACTCCTAAAGTGAAGAAGATAGAAATGAACTTTGCTGGAACTTTTTTTAAAAAATGTCTTCAAACAGCTTCTAGATTAAAGCTCCTACCCTTTTTTTTTTTTGGTTGAATTCTCATGGATTCTGAAAGTTGAAATGGTTGGAAGGAAGCCCAGATAATTTTTTTATCCCTGTCACTGAGAGGCACAAAGGTTTTTAAGTCCTGCCCCCATGGTGAATTGCAGACTATATGGGAACATAGAAGAACCTGACACATAGGTGTTCAGGCCATTGTTACAAAGAGGGAGCCAAATAAAATAGCTCTCTATGTAGGTCAATGACCTGTTCTTTGTCAGTAAAAAATTAAGGATGACCTTGAATCTATTACTTGAAAAAAAAGGGAGGGGAAAGTAGTTTCTCTTAATCAAAAGGAAAATATTTGTTACCTAAAGCTTAACCTCCTCACTATCTAACTTTAGCATAAGTCTCTGCTATTGAAAAGCAGTGGTCGAATCCTCAAAACCGCTCTGAAACATCTGTTAATTTTTGATCCTTCCAAGTGGATGGTTTAGTTATTGTAGAGGCATCCAGTAGCGCAGCTGTAGTTAAGGGTTTGATGGCATTTCCATTATAAAGCCACAATATTCAAGGGCTTAGAGTTGGATCAGCTCTTTCAAAATTGCATCTGCAATGTACATGGATTATAGGATTGCAGCTCAACTGCTTGCCCCCTTCCCATTTGTATAAATGATGGCATGAATCAACAGGGGCATATTCACAGGGAGACAGTTACAGAGACAGGCTCCAGGTTTTGCTTACATGGAATGAGAAAAGGCTCCTCTTTCCCTGCAAGTCTCTGAAAATCAAGAGGGAAACATCAGATTTTCTCCTGTCTCTGCTCACATGAAACAATGACAGGTGATTATGATGAAGATGCCCATGAAGATGCTAACCTCTCAATGTATGTGTGCTCTGGGGAAAAGATGTGAATACAATACACATTTTAATTTTTCTCTAATTCTTCTGTTGTAAATTACTGTGGTTGCCTAAATCAATTTCTAGGATAGCATTTTAATGGGTTGTGCTTTCAAACACATGATTTGCTGAACTCCAGTTAAGCCAATAATTATCATATTTTATGCTCAAAGAGAGTGAAGAATGGAAACAACCAAGGTATTATTTGACCTCAATTATTTCACATTATTTGCAATTCAGCTTTTCTTTGCCACAGTGGTGAAACAACAGCCTTTTCTGATGACTTACATAATGGTCTTGCAGGAGCAGATTACACATTCTCCCATTGTACATTAAACGTACTGCATATTAATCTTCATTTGAAGATTTCAATCAGAGTCTTCACATTTTAAATACTGATTAGAAGACAGAACTCATACCACTGACTGGTACCCTTTGTTGTGTGTTTGCCATGTTTGAATACTGCAAAATGCTACAACATTGTCTGGTCAGGGTTTCAGCCACCAAATGCTTCATTCTCTTTTTATTAATTGTGTTAGCCGCTGATCACAATTTTGTCCCAGAACTGTGTGGTATAATGATTAGAGTGTTGGATTTCAGATCCATGCTCTATGACCCTTAACTTTGGGATACCATGTAAGGGATAAAAGTGGAATAAATAAAGCAAACGCAATTCTATCTCTCCATACTGAAGGACTACCTAATTTTAGAAGTGGGATTCCCATATGTTTATGGGAGAATCTGGAATGCTTCTTTCAATATGGCACTTGCTACTTGTTATTTTTGCAAGGACCTGTAAATAACTGCATTTGAAAAACCAAATATAAACCGACTGAATTTCTAAGCTGGGAAGGGGAGGCCATTATTATTTCTCAATTTCTTTGTGCCACTGGGCCACCTAGAGCTGGTGAGTTATTGTGGAAGGCACTTATTTGGGAAGCATCCCAAGACTGTTTAGCTGGGACGTTCGGGGAGCGATTGTGAAAAAAGCACTTTGATGTGCAGGGGTCCAGTACAAATGGATCAAGCAGTGAAAGCATCCATCATATGAAAGCATCTACTAGGGATTTCAAGTCAGGAAATATGAATGAACCCTTCCCCCAAATTCCACCCCCACTTTCCAGATTCTTTTGTGGCTTTCTAATAGAGAGCCTTTGAAACCCAATAATTTCAGCTTCCCAAAATGCAGAGTTTAAAAAATATTAGGTTTCTGCTGGGTTTCTTCCATCACAGTAGTCCCCAACCTTTTTCGGACTGCGGACCAGTTGAGGGGTGCGGGCTCTGTGCATGCGGGGAACCCCAGTGCTTGCAGGTGGGCCTGTCACACTCATGGGTGGGCGCGTCATGCTTTTCGGAGGGGTGTGTCAAGCTAGTGCATATGCGCACGAGCACGACGCGCCCACCCAGAAGCACAACATGGCCACTGTATGCGAGCAGAGTGCCGGATATCCTTGTTGGTGGCCCAGTTCAAGGAAGCCCACGAACCAGCACCAGGCCGCAGACTGGGGGTTGGGGACCCCTGCTCTATCAGACTACCTCTGTTTGACATGTCAGGTCCTTCCCCTTTTTCTGTTGCCTGTGTGCTGCCACCATTCTGCCAGCCCGAGTCATTTCTTCACCCCCACAACTCTTGCCATGCCTGGGCGCCACCGCCACCCACCACCGTTCTGTCAGCCTTGGTCTTCCTGCCTCCTGCCTTTCCCGACCTTCTTAGTGCCAGAAGCCCTCAAGGAAAAACTGAAACAAAATGACTTGATAGAGTTGGTTTCCCAAAAGGTTTTGTTCCTAAAGGACTTGAAGTGAATGAGGACACCCCCCTCCTCCAACAAAAACATGCAATGAATGAATCCTGAATGTTTTCTCCAGGCACACCCCTAACATCCACAGTCCTCAAAAGGGGTGGGGGAATGAAAGTGAAAAGAGTCCATTCTTTGTCCAAAAAAGGGGAAGGGTCCCATGTAGAACATTTCCAGGAGGTTAACAGTGCTGGTAGAAGCCTAGGAGCTGTACCAGGATGGTAGGAAACTTGTTTGCTGAAAATGGTAAATGCCAAATAGAACCGTGCAAAAGTATTTTCATCTGTGTATGATGTTAGGAGTATGCTGTCTATGTGTAGAAATATTTATTATTTATTTATTTATTTACTTATTGGACTTATATACCGCCCCATAGCGCTACAAGCGCTCTCCTGGCGGTTTACAATTTAATTATACAGGCTACACATTGCCCCCCCAGCAAGCTGGGTACTCATTTTACTGACCTCGGAAGGATAGAAGGCTGAGTCAACCTTGAGCCGGCTACCTGGGATTTGAACCCCAGGTCGTGAGCACAGTTTTAGCTGCAGTACAGCGTTTTAACCACTGCGCCACGAGGCTCCACTTCTGTCACCACTTCTGTAGGCACCACTTCTGTCAGAACTGGAGCTAAACCTGCAAGTAAGGTGAACTACATGAACTGAAACCAAATGATACATATTGGTGTGGTTTGCCATGGCAGCTGTCACCTGATTAAAGAAGTTTAATTATATGAGTACTAATTGAGCACATCTGCAATAAATGTATGTTGCCACCTATGGAACAGCCGTGTAGGTCACAATGATCATTCTAAAAACGAGACACATTCTTTTGTGTATATCTGTGCCTCTGTAAGCGCTGCCTTAGAAGAAGAGCCTCCTCTGTGAGAGAAAAGGTAGAATGCATATTTCTTGGATGGTCTTAAAATCTGTTGCCTAATTATCCAGGAGGCACCTTTTAAATCAAAAGGTTCCTGTTGATTAATCCAACCATCACAGTACCATCAGTTACGCATAGTAATCTAGATCTTTAACATGGAAGAAGCCTTAGCAGATACCTGACTGTTTGACGATGTTCTCTTTCCTTATAGTTTTGCTATACCTGCAGATCCTCAGTAAAGTAAAACAGAGCATAACAAGAAATAAAGCATGTTGTGCAAGGGTCTGACTCCAAGGCTGACACTATGAACCCATGGAAGGACAATCACCTGCTGAGGCCCTTACCTGAGCGTGTCCTGCCTCGTGCAGAGGTGCAAGGGCGCTCGACCATCATCGCTCAAGAGGTTGGCATTGGCCTTGTGCTCCAGTAACAGCTCAGCACACTCTGTGTGTCCCCCTTCACAGGCTTCATGTAAGGCAGTCCGTCCTCCTGGGGCTGCATTGGGATCTGCCCGCCAGAACAGGAGATGACGGAGACAGGCGGTATGTCCACGGCTGGCTGAGATGCAGAGGGGGTTTGTCAGTTCTCTCTTGTATTCTAGAGACCACAGGCCTGGAGCACATATACACACATCCAAGGATGGGCAGGAGACAAAAAATTGGGGAAGGGCAAGAAGAAAGAGCAAGGATGGACTTGTGGTTGAGATCGGAATAATAGAGCCTTAGTCTAGCTGTCATTTTTCTACTTTGATCTTAGTGATACCTGGATATACTCAAACTAAGTTTTAGTATTATAGGCCTCATAGATTTAGCCAAAGTACAAACCTCACATATTTTCACATAGTTTAGTCAAAGAGAAGATATTCACGGGCAGTATAGAGTTTCTTTAGTAACTTAATCGTCTGCCCACTCACCTGTGTTCTAGCAGATGGCCCAATTCAGGAATGCAGGCAGAAAACAAGGAGGTGATTGGCGAAATATAAAACCCAGCAGGGGAGCCGGAGGTTGAAGGCCATACATTCAGGCCCAGGAAGGACATATAAACATACAAATACATAAAGAAAGATGGATACACTTCCCTCCAGACATTGAGGTACGTCCCAGTTACAGGTCAAAGGGAGTTGGGGTATCTTTTAAGCATATCTATAGGGAACCAATAGTTCAGTAAATCTTAGCATTATTATCCAATAAGGGGCAGGATCCTGCTTTTGGGTAAAGGTGACTAATAGAATTGTACAACTTTGTGGCTCTTTGTTTGTATAATTATAAAGCATTTGTAAACTGTATTTTCAGGGTCTTCTCTACTTTTAAGAGATATCCCAGCTGACTTTATTGTTAATCAATAAAATTGGATGTTGGTTCAGCTGGTTGTGTCGTGCCTGATTCCTTGCTGGGGAAAATTGGGAAACAGGTTTTTGATCTGTAACAATAGTTGTTGAAATACTTTTACACCAGATTACAAAAAGAGAGAAACAGAACACTGGGTCCCACGTTTTTGCTCCCTCCTCCAACTATCTAAAGTAATCCCTTCTACTGTATGTGCAATTTATTGTTTAAGAATCTTGGGAAGGAATCCTCCTTTGCTGCTCTGATCAGGCAAGTCTCAAGAAGTTGGGGTGGGGGAAGGAGGGGGAAAGAGGTGCCACTGTACATGCAGGGAGACTATTTCTGGAGAGGACATCTCTCTTGCATTCTTTGAGATTCATTCATTTCTTGGATGAAGAAGGGAAAAAACACACACAGAGTAGGGTTAATTCTATCAGCCCCATACCCCCACATCTGTGCTTCCAGATAACCTTTGCCCTTTGACCTCGGAACAGGGAGTACAACTCTGAACAAGAAGTTCCACTTAGGGGCCTCTGTTCATAAACTGGAATTCTACACAGAACTGATAAGACAAGTGTCTGGTTTATGTGGCACCCCAACACAGAAGCACAGTATAGTTTCCTATTCAGACTGCTCTACTTAGTGTAAGACAAAATGGTAGTGGGGTGTGTTTGACAGCAGACCTCTTCTATCATATAGCTAGCTACACATGAATTAGCTACATGCAAATAATGTGTGTAGTGGGCTTCTCTGTACTCCAAATCTACACCAGATTTTTATGGCTGCCTAACATAGCTACTGAAATGTGATCCTGCTCTGTATGTCTGGCCCATACAGAAATACAAATATCTAGCCAGGCAAGATCAAGCAGTTTCTTGGAAACAGACACATATCAGCAGCTGACCATGGCTTATATGAGTGCTTTTCTATTTTATTCTGCCACCATCCTTTGGCTTAAAATAACATCTAAAACATCTAACTTTGTGCATGTCAGGAAAGGAAGCTAAACATGCTCCATATGTGTTGTTTTCTGCCACCACCCTTTGGCTTAAAATAACATCTAAAACAACATCTAACTTTGTGCATGGCAGGAGAGGAAGCTAAACATGCTCCATATGTGTTGTCACTGATGGATTTTTGGTATCATCTGGCAGAACAAAGTTCCAAATAGAGTAGTTATAGAATGAGCTGGAATTTTAGCATGTATACATTACTGAAACAGCGATGTCTACATTGGCTCGGGCATGTCGTGAGAATGGCTGATGGTCAGATTACGAAAGATCTTCTGTATGGAGAATTAGTGCAGGGGAAGTGCCCCAGAGGGAGACCACAGCTGCGATACAAGGATATCTGCAAGCGGGGTCTGAAGGCCTTAGGAATGGACCTCAACAGATAGGAAACCTTGACGTCTGAGCGTTTAGCCTGGAGGCAGGAGGTGCATCATGGCCTCTCCCAGTTTGAAGAGACACTTGTCCAGCAGGCTGAGGCAAAGAGGCAGTCCTGAAACCAGCAAAATCAGGGAGCTGGACAGGGGACAGATTGAAATTGTCTTCAGTGTGGAAGGGATTGTCACTCTCAAATTGGCCTTCTCAGTCACACTAGACACTGTTCCAAGTCCTCTATTCAGAGCACGTTACCATAGTCTCTCAAGACTGAAGGATGCCTAATCTAAGCTAGATACGCTAAAATCAACAAAAAAACATTTTTCAGGTATGTGCATAGCAAAAGACAAAGAAAAGGAACAGTGGCTCAGCTACTCAATGGAGATGGAAAAATGATAACAGATCAAAGAAAAGGGAGTGCTCAACTCCTATTTTAGCTCAGCCTTTTCCAAAAGGACACACTACGACCCAGCAGACAAATGTGTGAAGTGCAAGTGGAGGGGACAGGACAGTAGATGGAGATTGATACCTTACCACCTTGAAAGAGTTGAAGCTGGATGAACTGCATCCGAAAGAACTACTGAAAGAACTGGCTGAAGAACTCTCAGAAATGCTATCTATCATTTTCTTGAAATAATGGGAAATGGGTGAAGTGCTAGACGATTGGAGGAGAGCTAATGTTGTCCCTATCTTCAAAAAGGGCAAAAAAGAGGAACCTGGATACTACAGGCCAGTCAGCCTGACATCAATTCCAGACAAAATTCTGGAATAGATTATTAAGTGGTCACTATGCAAGCACCTAGAAAACAATGCAGTAATAACTAGAAGCCAACATGGATTTGTCAAGAACAAATCCTGCTAAACTAATTTGATCTCATTTTTTGATCAGGTCACTTCCCTGATAGACAGAGGGAATGCTGTAGATGTAGTATATCTTGACTTCAGCAAAGCTTTTGACAAAGTGCCCCATTATCTCCTGATTAGCAAGCTAACTAAGTGTGGACTGGCTCAGAGGGTGCGGGAGTGGATACACAAATGGCTACAGAATCATACTCAGAGGGTGATAATTAATGGGTCCTTCTCTAACTGGGAGGAGGTAACAAGTGGGGTACCCCAAGGATTAGTCCTGGGCCCGGTGCTCTTCAATATTTTTATAAATGACTTGGATGAGGATGTGCAGGGAATGCTTGTCAAATTTGCAGATGGTACCATTCAAAATGACCTTGATAGGATGGAGATGAAATCCTCTAGTTTCTTTCTCCAATTTTTGTAGGAGACAATTACCAGCCACACAAGCTAGGAATTACTTGGACGGGCCATACTTTGCAGAATTGGCCACCCAACATATAACTGGATAATTGAAATCTCCCATCACTACTACATTGTGTCTCTTTGAAAACCCTGCAATTTGTTTTTCAAACGTTTTATCCATTTCCTGTCTTTGATTGGGCTATCAGTAGTAGACTCCAGCTACCAAGTTCCTTTTGTGTTTTGCCCCAACTAGGTTGATCCAGACGCTCTCAATGGGAATGCTCTTGATGCCAGTCTCTTCCTCCTGTATTTCTGTGCAGGAACACATATTTTTGACATATACTGCAACTCCACCTCTCTTTTTATTGTTTCTGTTCTTTTTGATCAGTTTATATCCTTCAGTTGCTGTATTCCAGTCATGGGAGTCATCCCACCAAATTTCAGTTATTCCTAGCAAGTCATACTTACCCTCCTGAATTAAAATTTCCAGTTCTTCTTGTTTGTTTTCCATACTCCTGGCATTCGTATATAGACACAGGTTGTGTGATTTGTGAGCTGTTTGTCTTTTATGAATATTATTATGAATATTATCGTAATTATTATTATGATTATTATTGCAATTATTATTGTTAATGTTTTTATTGTTGCCCTTTTGATTAATTTGGTCCATTCCTCTTATTGTGTGTAAGGCTTCATGTCTCCTTAACTGTGTGCTTGCGTCTCCCTCCCCCTTCCAATTGTCTCCTTAACTGTGTACTTGTGTCTCCCTCCCCCTTCCAATTCAGTTTAAAGCTCTCCTGATGAAGTTCATGCTGTGGGCAAACACATTCTTCCCCATCCTTGTTAGATGCAAGCTGTCTCTTGCTAGCAGTCCTTCTTCCAGGAAGCTTAGCCCATGGTTCCAAAAAACAAATCCCTCTTCTTGACACCAGCTTCGTAGCCAGTCATTCACCCAGAGGATCTTCCTTTCTCTTTCGATTCCTCTTCTGAGCACCGGTAGGATGGAAGGAAAAACCATCTGGGCTCCAAAGTCCTTGAGTCTCCTTCCCAGAGCTTCAAAGTCAGATGTGATTTCTCGGTAGCTCCTCTTGGCTGTGTCGTTTGTTCCCACGTGGAGCAGAAGAAAGGGATATGTATCTGTAGATTTTATGAGTGATGGCAATCCTTCCATTATATCCCTTGTCTGTCCTCCAGGGAGACAGCATACCTGGCAAGTCCATGGATACTCCCAACATATCGCGGTATCAATTCCACATAGTGGGGAGTCCCCTTCTACAACTGTTCTCCTCTTCTTCTTCTTGTAGGGTGTGGGTTCAGTGACTGTTTTCTGCTGCGCTTCAGCCCTACTCATCTCCTGTGGGGTCTCCTCTGCATACTGTCCGATGGGCTCTTCTAGTAACTGAAAGCGGTTTTGTAGTGCTCTTCTTCTAGTAACGGAAAGCGGTTTTGCAGTTCCACCAGGGAAGAGTGTCTCTCCTTCTTTCCCTCGTTTCTTTCCCTCCTGGGGCATAGCAAGAGGAGGGAAAGCAGGGATTAAAGTGATTCCATCGTGCTTTGATCCCCTTTTCTCTCCTCTTGCTAAGCCCCACAGGGCATAGCAAAAGGAAGGAAAGTAGGGATCAAAGCAATCCTGTAGTACTTTGATCTTTTTCCCTCCTCTTGCTAAGCCCGGCAGAGCATAACAAGCAGAGGGAAAGCAGGGATCAAAGCAATCCCGCAGTGGCTGGAGGATCCCTTTGATCCCTCTTTGATCCCTTCCCTTCTCTTCTTATGCTGTGTTGGCACAGGAAGAGGAGGAAAGGGGAACCAAGCCATCTCCTAGCGCCGGGGGTGGGATTCCCTTTGGACAGGCTTTAGCAAGCCACCCAAAGGGAAAACCCGTCTCTGCTTATGTCCCCAAGGAACAGCTGATTTTGGGGGGCATAAGCAGATAGGGAACAAAGGGATGAATATAAAAGGTTTGTATTTATTGCTTCACATTTGTGGGGGGGTCTCTGGACCCCAAGAATAGAAAGCACATTGCTTCGCATTTGTGGGGGGGGGTCTCTGGACCCCAAGAATACAAAGCAACAAATATCTGATGAATTAGGGATATTTAATGAACATCCTGATTTGTTTTTATATTTGTGCCCATGTTTGTTTAGGATACCTGTCCCTCTTGTTTTGTTAGTTTAAATGTAGTTGTACGTATAAGCAAAGGAACAATAACAAACAATTGTACTTGTAAGCAAAGGAACAACAACAACAAAAAATCCCCCTTGGCCTCCCGTGACAAACTCCCTGCTTGCTCTCCTGTTTGCAAGCTCCCGGGGTCTGCCTTTAGCTTTATTTGTCAGCTGTGTTGTGCCCGGAGTCAGGAATCAAAAGGCCCTCCCGAACTCACAGCTGCTACATACAGACCTCAGCAGCAATCAGGACACTCCCCTTTCTGTTAGGCGAATCACTAATGAACCATCATTAACCACCAATTTTCCAGTTTGTGCCGCTCTCTAATTGTCACATACAAGGCAACAATATAGGTATATAGCAAAACAGACCCTCTGGGTAGTACCACCAAAAAAAAAAAAAGAAAAAAAAAGACAAGTATGCAGCAAGCCAGTCAAGCCTGGCTGCCTGGAATACACGGACATACACCCAGCAGAGCAGCCAACAGCAACACAACACCAATAACCCCCAAGTTGTTCCCAACCAACCACCACCACACTCATAAAGTCTAGGGGCACATTGGCACAGCCACAAAGTCCATTCTTCCCCCACAGATGCATACAAAATAATCCCTACACCCCTATGAAAATATAAATCTTTAACACAATACAGTTAACAATTTTAAAAATTAATCAAACAGGGAAAGCTCTTGCCCCACAGGAAAAAACTAGCAGTTTACTTCCTCTCTCAGATAAGTGGTTAATACATCACACCAAAGGAGGAACACCTTGGTTAAAAAAAAAGCAAATAAATTCAGGTTAATTTGTATTATATGCACATTTGCATGATATGCAAATAAGGTTACCTGGATGTAGACTACTGGAATTTGACAAAGGACTAGTGATCATGTAATTTCATTGTATGTTATCACTCACCTTTAACTATTTTTGATATTATTAAGGATAGGTGAAAGCCCGGTGGGAAGAAGACCTATACAATTCACATGGTGATCTTAGCCCTCTTTGGAGAAGAAACAAAAAGAGTCACAGCCAGTGTGTGGCTGGTTGCAAAGCACAGAGAAGAGGAAGGCCAGTTACTGCTCAGCCCTGTTCCTTTGGGCTGAAGCTTCGCTGGGTATCCCAAGTAAAGATCCCTAAACTCCTTGCTACGGTTAAGACCACCTGTGATCCTCCGACAACTAGGCTGAATCCACTTGGGCAACTACGCCTCACAAGGCTATCTTGCTTTGTTTGCCCATTCAGTAATAACAAAGCAAAACAGATAGCACATTTGCTGCTGATCCCACTTGTTGCTATAGGAGCTAAGGGCCTGATCCATCTGGGCCCTTTCACACTTGACAGAACATCTGACAAGAGAGTTTGCCGACAGAGAACTAATACTTCCATAGAACCCAGGGCAACAGAACTATACAGACAAACTGGCCCTGTTTTTAAGAACAGAGAACTTGCTGGGGAAGGGGGGCTGAAGAGACTCACTGCCCTTAATTTGAATAAGTAAATACCTGCTTAAGTTTGAAAGTGGTGCTTTGAATTTAGAGTACCTGACAGTCCATAAGCAGCTTGGCTTTGTACCTGCCACTCCAGTTCATTTTTATTGATCTCAAACACCATGTTGACATCTTCATAGTACTGATCAATGAGGGCCTTCAGCTTCTTCATGTTTCCTGTGAGCAGAGCCTCATAGTATTTGTCCACAGGGGCATGAGGTTTTAGAGGGAGCTTGGTTCCCTCTTGTTCAAAAATCTGCAGTCTGTCTACAGCAAGTCCAGGTAACTCCTCCATTGTGCTTATCTGCAGCTTGTCCTGCAGGTTGCTGGGATTTTATAGTTCATATTATTTTGATCTCCTTGTTTGTACTGTCCAATTATATTCTACTTAGGACTCTGACACTGCTTACTTCAGCATCTGGTAATAATTCTGCTTTGATGTAATTCACGTCACATGCGCTGCTGACTACAATAGCATTCCACTTACTACACCCTGATCATGAGCAGAAATATATCTAGACTAACAAGGTCGAATGTTCACAAGGGTGTTTTGTGTTGGAATTTCTGTGTGAAACTATTTTAATGCCATCTAGTAGCTTCACAAGGATATATGCCAGCCTATAGTGAGGTTTTTCTGTAGCTGATGCTGGTCTATTTAAGTTCCAGTGACACAAATAAATGGATGTCATGGTTCACATGCCTTGGAGTCTCTTGTTCTTCAAACTTTTCAAGTTTGCTCATCTCATGCCTTCACCTTATACGCCAGTTCTATGGTGAGTGGATGCAGCCCTGTTATGCACACCCCCATCCACTCGTACTTTTTGAAAATTCCATTGTAAAAGCATCTTGCATAAGGTTGATTTGACTCTTCTAGCTTTTTTTCTTTCAGTCTGGAGAAACTGTGAGTCTTGGGAATCTGGAAATCATGAAATAGACTCCATCTATGCTCAAATGAATGGCAAGGTTTTATTGTGATGTGACTGTTGTTGTCTAGAATTACAATTATTTGCGGATATGGCATATGTTCCTAATGTAACTAGCTGAAGGACAAAGAGGGGACAAGCCATACATGGGAGACACATACCTCTTATTGTCTTGTGCCAAGGGCTCAATCACACACTATTCACACTCAATAGGTCTCTTGATCTCACAACCCATTTGAGGCTAACTTTTGTTTCAGAAAAAGTCTTGACACATTTCCTCAGTTGTTTATTCAGAAATTTAGAAATACCAAAATAAAATAGAGAACAACTAGAAATATGTCTGATTGACAAGAGGCATTGAATGATGACTGGGAGGGAGCCTGTATTTTCTACTAAATCTATTATCTTAGAAGATGTTTTTATTCCTTATTTTCTTCTGTAGCATTAGCAGCATCCTGCTTTTTATTAGTTGTTGTCCAATCCTGTAATATTAGTTTTAGTAGTATGAAAGTAAATTAATTTGAGTTGCCTCACGTTTAAGGAGCAGCACAATTAAAATATAAATAAATTATAATAATTTAAATGAAAAACAAATCAAAGCATTTGTAAATTTAGAAAAAAATGATCTGCAGGTTTTTTCCACATTTAATACAACATTATTTGGTTCAACTGTTATTAATGTGGCCATTGATGGTGTTGTCTTGCAACAAGCATTTGGATTCTGGGCATGCTGCAGGTGGTTTTTCAGTCTATATATCCTGAAATCCTGATATGGCCTGCCCTTGGAAGTGCATGGCCCACTATTTGAGATTCCCTGCTGTAAAAATAACCCCGTAGGTTTTCTCTAAATGCTTTCAGAAATTAGTAGTCAGTTGTTTTAGACATAGAAAATATATGTATCATGTACTTATTTGAGAAACACCTTTGGGTTTACTCTTGCTTTGATGTTTTTGTGTCAACTGTTATCGAGAAGTCATTGCTAGTATTTTGTAATATAAACTTGTTTTAACTAAGCCATAATCGAGGTGTAATGCTAAAATGTCTGCAAAAAGGTATTTGTCTGCATAGCAGGGAGGTTTTGTCATTTCCTGAGATGCGACTTGTATGGGGCATGGAGACTGCAATACCCCTCATGGTTTCCTGTCTCTAAATCCAACAATGTGGACTCACCATTCAGGGGGAATCTAACCAGACGTACCTGGATCAGGATTACAGAGACGTGCCCAGATTACAGAGACTCATACTCAAGCAAAAATTTGACACATATTGCAATAACAACCAAGAAACTTGTGCCAGGTCAAAAAGACTGTCAGGTTTTACTTCACATAGTCTTTTGTAGACTATAGCCCATTTAAACAGATATCAATCCCTGAAAGTTTATGATCAATAAAATGTATTCACCTGATTTTTTGTTGTTTTTAGGAAAATATGCTGCATGTCTACTCAAAGGTAAGCCCCATGCTATCACTGCAGGGTAATCCTAGTCTAAATTGTAAACACAAACATTTATATGCTCTTAAGATAAATAAACATGAGCTCAGTAAGTATTGTCGCATATTTTGTATAACGTCCTCAAGGTTCCTTCCAAATCCTCCACCTATTCCTTGATATTATTGCAGGAAGTTTAAAAAAATGTCACTTTCTCTCTCCTGAACAGCTGCAGCTTGGCCTTCTTCCAATCCACTGGGCTGCTAACCCATCGGCTTTCATGATAAATTTTCTATTCTTCCCCCCTCCCTTTCTTATAACCCCAAGACTTATTCTGTGCATTAACTCAAGAATTCAATGTGTTTAGTCAATCAAAGCTGAAAACGTTGCAGGGATTTGGAGCTTTAAACACACACACACATACACACACACGCACACGCACACGCACACGCACGCACACACACACACACACACACACGTACGTTGTGGATGTATGTCTCTGTCGATCTGCCTTCTTTGGAGGACAGAAAATGAAGGAGAGAAGAAAGGAACCAAACGAAGGAACAACAGACAGGAAATAGAAAAGGAATAGAAAAGAAAACCCTCTAAAGTTAGTGGTACATGCAGGCTATGTTCTAGTCTTTCCCTTTCTTTGGAATCTACTCCTGTTCCTTCTTTAATTTCTAATCTACCTTCTTCCGAAGACAGTTTGCTTCTCACCTCAGTTCCTCTGACCTGCAGTAGAAATGCTATGAAGTACAGGCCTTTGAGCTTTCCCCTCGAAGGTGACCCATCATGAGTTGTATTTGCAATTCTCTTTTGCTTTAGCTCTACAGGGAGTGGTCAGTTGTAGATTCATGCAGCTACTTGTGAACAAAAGAATTATGGCAAATCCTGCTGTAATTTAAGCCTCTGTTTTGGAAGGAGGTTAATTACCAGTAGCCAAGTCTGCACAATAAAATTTACAGCTTGCATTTAAGTTCTTACTGTGAAGTCATCCTTGTGGATATTTGTTAATGATAATGCCTTAGATTTCACTCCCTAAAACATAAAACTGAAAATTTATGGTTGCTACTCTCTTTTCTTCATTGTAGGCAAAACAGGCTTTAAACCAAGGCAGCCTGTAGCATTTTCATTCAGATGGAAAGTGTGTGTGTAAGAGAGAGTGAATGGAAGATGGGGGGGGAGGGTATTCATGGGTTTTCCTTTCCTTTCCTGGAACCTAACATATTTGCTTAGAGTAGGTATTTAATTTTTCTTGTGGGAAGGAGGAGTTAGGCTGGTCATATATTCTCCTTCAAGGAGGGCATTCCTCCATTTGAAGGGCCACTTCCTTTTGAACTTGTCATCTATTCAAAGGGAACCAACTGTTTGGATTAGAAATGGCACAAACAAAAAAATGCAACTCATCACTATTCATAATTTATCAACATAGATGAATCACGAATTTACAATTCCTCCCCCCATGAATCAATGAATTGATTTGTCGATTTGTCTTTATTTAAAATGCTATAAAATCCCTTCCAGGACCTAGAGACACCAACTTCACAGAGAAGCTTTCCCTGACTCTCCTCTCCAAGTCCAGCAAGTTTGGTGAAATTTAGATTTCAGACATCCAAGTTATATACCCACAAAATTAGTCCCCTCAGGAAAGTGGCTCCAGGCACCTAAAGACAACAAAATCACATAGAAGGTTCCCCTGATTCTCCTCTACAGACCATCCAAGTTTGGTGAAGATTGGGTTTCAGACATCCAAGTTATACAACCACACAGTGGGCGCCCCAGGAAAGCGGTAGAGGCAGCTGGCATAGTTTGCCACCAGGCTCAGAAGCAGATGGCATTGAGGTAGTTTGGTTTGCCACCAGGCACAGAGGTGTTTGGAAGAGATGTACTTTAGTTTGCTACCAAGCACAGAGACGGATGGCATTGAGGTAGGAATGGCATTGAGGTACTATACTCTGCTTCCAGGCACAGAAGCATTTGGAAGAGATGTACTTTGTTTTTTCATCAGGCACAGCAGGGTTTGGAATAGATGTGGCCTTGGGGGTGTTCGAGAGCCTGGTGGATAACTGGCAGGCAGGTTTCTTATTCTCCTCCCTAGGTTAGTGGGGTAGGACAGGCAGGCAGGTTTCTTTCTTCTATTAGTGGCATGATGGCAGAAATCAGCCACATGGAAATCAGCCACTCGTGGCACTGAGTTCAGTCTCTGCCCTGAGTGGGACAGCATGAGGCAGAGAGATGGTATGGTGAACGTGAGGGACTCAGGCAGGCAGGCAGTGTAGTGGAGCTGGGGGACTCAGGTGGGCAGGCAGGGGGTGTGGTGTGGTGACAGAAAGAATGTCATTGGAACTCTGCATTGTTGGGTTCAAGGAGGGGAAGCGCAACAAAGAAGGTTTGCCTTAATGAAAGACAGTCTCTCCTCAGTCACGGAATTCAAACAGCAGCAGTGGAGTTGGAGCATGTCTCCAAGAAGCAAACCACCCTCCCCTTCCTCTGACTTGTGCCCAGACATCCCTGGTGCCCCCCTCCGCACACATCACATCCCAAAAACCCCGAGCACTTCCGTGGAGAGCTCCATTCTCCACTCACACTCTGCAGTGTGTACTGCCAACCTTCCTTGATGCGAGGATCACACAGGCAGGCCATGTGGCTTGTCTTACTCTGTCCCTGCTGACAGGATGGAGTGGCTTCCGCATGTCTCTTCACCAAGGCCCTGGTCCATGGAATGAGCAGCTTTTAGGCCGCGTGAGAAATGGCACATCAGTTGGTGGCATTGCTCCAAGAGTGCCTGCGTCTCCCAGGCACCTATATCCCACTCGGGCTTGATGTGGCTCTCCAGTTTAGTGGAACCATGTACAGTGGTGCCTCGCACAGCGAGGTTAATCCGTCCCGGATTAACCCTCGCTGTGTGAAACATCACTGAGCGGTAAGAAAAAAGCCATTG